GAATTGCTAATGAAGCAGAGATTTAAATATTCCGCAACAAATGAGGTTTACAGGATCTGTCAAAAAAGGGTTTATTTTCGACAGATCCGCCTCTAGACTGCCGGGGGAGGGGGTCCGTTTCAAAAAAATGCAGTGGCCATGTTTATGCTAATGAAGCATGGGAAATTTAAATCCCTGCTTCATTAGCAATTTCAACGTGCCTAATCTCTCTGTCGACAGAGAGGTATAGTCTAGATGTACCCTGGGTTCTACAGGAACAAAGGACTGGAAAAATCTGGCTAAAAATCTGGCATGCCATGAGAAGGCAGCAAATCACCAGAGAGCACTCCATAGGTGGAAAGAGCTGGAGATGAGACTAAGGTTAAAGGCCACCATAGATGATCAGCATCAAGAGAAGATTGCATCAGTGTCTCTTTACTGGCAATATGTTCTGAAAAGGCTCATTGCCATTGTGAGAATGCTTGCTACCCAAAACATAGCACTGCGTGGCACTTCAGATCAGCTGTATGTGCCAAACAAAGGAAACTTCCTTAAAATTGTGGAGCTGATGGCTGAGTTTGATTCTGTACTCCATGAGCATCTAAGAAGAGTCACGACCCAAGAAATGTACACACACCACTACCTTGGGAAAACAATTCAAAATGAGATCATACAGATACTGGCAACAAAAGTCAAACAGAAGATTGTGGCAGATCTGAAGTCAGCAAGATATTACTCTGTTATTCTGGACTGCACACCTGACATTAGCCATACGGAACAAATGACTTTAATGGTGCATTTTGTAACAACAGAACCTAGTGAAAATGTCCCTGCAATGGGGACCGTCAGAGAGCATTTTCTAGAATTTATTGGCATTGATGATACTACAGGAGCTGGCATGACAAATGTGCTTCTTGAAAAGTTGGAAGATATAGGAATTGTGATAGCTGACATGAGAGGTCAGGGCTACGATAATGGTGCCAACGTGAGAGGAAAGAACAGAGGAGTGCAGACACAGATCCGAGAGTTAAACCCTCAAGCTTTTTTTGTCCCATGCAGTTCTCATTCATTGAACTTGACGGTCAGTGATGCAGCATGAGCTTCTAGTGAGGCTGCTGAATTTTTTAATGTAATTCAAAGCATCTACATATTTTTCTCTGCATCAACTCATTGATGGCAAATTTTGAAACAACATCTGGGAACATCCTCTCTGACACTGAAACCACTGAGTGCCACATGATGGGAAAGTCGAGTGGAGGCGATAAAGCCTATCAAATACCAAATTGGGAAGATAGATGGTGCCATAGTTGCCATTATGGAGGATAATGCTATGACAGGAACTGTTCATGGGAGAACAGTGGCAGAGGGAAATGGAATCACCAGAAACATACATAACTTCAAATTTCTGTGTGGCTTAGTGTTCTGGCATGACATACTGTTTGAAGTAGATGTTGTGAGCAAGAGACTCCAAGGTGTTGAGCTTGATATATCTGGAGCAATGGAACAACTGGACAGAGCAAAATCATGCCTACAGTCTTACCTGTCAGCTGAGGGATTTCAAAACATTCTAAAGAGTGCACAGAAGTGGCAGAGGAACTTCACACTGAAGCTATTTTCCCAGCCATTCAAGAATACAAGAATCACCAAAGAAGAAGACATTTTGATTACGAGGCACGGGATAATCCCATAAGAGACCCCAACCAACAATTCAAACTTGAATTATTTAACCAGGTACTAGATTGTGCAATACAGTCAGTTGAAGAACATTTCATGCAGCTCAAGGAACACAGAAGTATATTTGAGATGTTGTATGATATTCTATAACTCCTCACTATACCTGAAGAAGCCTTACACCAGCAATTCAGGGCACTAGAGACAGTGTTGATACATGATGACATGTGCAATATTGATTTGAGTGAGTTAGGTGATGATCTGAAAGCCCTTTCAAGATACATTTCAGCACGATCAACTCCAAAGGCTGTCCTGGAATATATGTGCCAAATAAGATGACCACCCTCTTTCCAAATGCTTTTGTTGCTCTATGCATACTTCTAACACTTCCTGTAACAGTTGCCAGTGGAATACGCAGCTTCTCCAAGCTGAAGTTAATAAAAACAGCACATCTGTGCTTCACAATGACACAGGAGAGGCTGGTCGGCCTGGCAACCATCTCAGAGAACATGAGCTGGCCCAGACTGTGGACCTTCAGGAAGCAGTTCAAATCTTTGCAACCAAGGAGGCATGGAAAGCGCCACTTTGATTATTCAAATAGATAAAAATGCCAGTGTTTACTATTCAGACAAGAAAAGTTACATTTGCTGTTCAGATGTTTGAATGTTAAGTGTTACTTCACATTTTTGAACAAGGCATTTTAAGTTGTTAGTTCTCCTTTATTGGGGTAGGTAGCAGAGCAGTGCCACGAGAGGAGTAAAACAGGAAGAAGGCAGAACTGAGACCTTTCAAAGTTCTGGCCCAAGTGAGAGGGCATGAGAGTGTCATTTACCCGCCTCAGGTGCCAAAATGTTGTGGGCTAGCCCTGCATCCACTCCAGAACTTGGTGCTGGGTCCCACTAGGGCTCCTGGATGACAGGAGCTTGCTCTCGATGGGTTACCCATTCCTGTCTAGGCGTGAAAGACAGAGCACTGGAAATGCACACCAAATATTCAAACCAGAGCTGCTCCAGACACAGAAGCTTCAGGTTCAGACTATTCAAAATACTCTTGGCAGAGCAACATATCTTCAGTTAGGAACACATAAAACTATTCATGCAGGAAACTCACAGTGTAAGGAAACTTTCCTCCACTGAAAATAACTCCTCCTATCAGCTCACCAACAAGATTCTTTCTGTGGGACACGGAAAACTTTGGGACTCAATGAAGTTCACTTGAGAGCTCTGCTGACAGTGAGGACTGGAGTATTTACAGCCGTGAATGCTGTCGCCTACCACTATGGAGCTTTAAAAGCTGGAGATGTAGAAAAGGGCTTAACAGGAGTGCTGTCCACTGAAAATAACTCCTCCTATCAGCTCACCAACAAGATTCTTTCTGTGGGACACGGAAAACTTTGGGACTCAATGAAGTTCACTTGAGAGCTCTGCTGACAGTGAGGACTGGAGTATTTACAGCCGTGAATGCTGTCGCCTACCACTATGGAGCTTTAAAAGCTGGAGATGTAGAAAAGGGCTTAACAGGAGTGCTGTGCCATGCCCCAGGGTGCTGCTGGCCCGGGCACCCAATGATGACATCAAGGTCATTGACGGCCGTGCGGGCAGGGGCGCCGATCGTGCCTTCCGCCTGGGGCACCAGCTGCTACAGCCGGCCTCAGGCCGCTCCTGGTCTTGTGCACTAACTAAAGTCAGATCCTTTCAGAGGCTGTAGCTTGATACCCCATCTCTGCCTCTTGAAAGCCTATGTAGAATCTTCACAACGGTAGGCTTGTTGCGCTGGGCTTCTACCAAGAGTTATTTGGGATCTGGTAGGGATGGAGTTGCTGGAGAAATGGGCCTTCAGGACAGCTGAAATTGTAAACGTCTTCAGCTCATTTTTCCCCATGCATTGCTCCTTGTGGAGTTTACGCACAGTCGGGCTTGGAAATGGAGAGACTGCTTTTCACTCAGATTTGGCCTGTTTATGAGGCACTTTCTCCAGCAGAGCTTAGGGATCCATCTCCTAGCTCTGCTCCTAGCTGCCAGTTGCCAGCCCAACATGGGGCCAGAATGAGGAAGTTCCCCACAGGTACTGTATGTACATCTGAGAAAAAAACAAAAAAACGAACAAAGGCACCTTCAGCCATTGTCTGTGGGTGAGTCCAGTGCCAGTTCTGTGTACCACAGTCTGAGTACCAACGGGGCAAAGAGAATTCCATACTTGCTGTGGGAAAGGAGAGAAAAGACAGGAAAGCAACTCAGGGGACTTAATTCATGGGGCATTTCAAATAGACATTGTGCCTGATTTTGACTATTCTCTAAATTTTCAGCAGAAAAGAGATAAACTTTCCCATGGCCCAGTCCTCCAGGGGAGTGCTTGGGTACCCTGGTGGAGGCTGCCTTTGTCAGCCCCTCTCATACAGCATTTTTATTCCCCATGGAACCACCCAGATTTACCAGCTTCAGAGCACACTTTGCAGGATTACCATTAAACATGCTGAAGAGTTTCTCTTGTGTGGCAGGAATGTCTGCAGGCAGCCTGATAAGTGGAATGTTTCCATAGCTGCTGGCCTGGTTAACCTAAAGGGGAATATACAGCAAATCATTCAGCTTATCTAGCAAATAGCATCCTAATGTATAACCCATTTTCTGTATTCCTATATGTTTATTCTGCACCGGGCTTGCACATCAGCATAGGTTGATTTCTTCCCACTAATACTTGATCCCAGAGCAGAAATTTGGGCTCTGTTCCAAAGTTTTTTGGGGGGTGATATTGCAAGAATTCCCAATGATAAAATGTATCATTTTAAGGCAGAATTTAAAAATGAAAGACCGTTAGTTGGAGGCACATTCCTACATTTTCAACAGACCAGGTGCTTCATACCGAAAGTCATTGGCATCATTTCAGCATCCATTAGAAAGACGGAAACTTGATTTCAAGAAACAAAGCCAGAATGACACCAGATGATTTTAATCTCAACATGCAGGAGCTGCCAAAAACCCAAGTCTAGGCATCCACTCAGCTCTGATCCAGGAGCACTGGAAGCTCCCTAAAAGTGGGGGAGCCACCGGTGCCTGAAACATGCCCCCACACCACCATTCTCCCCCAAAACTCTGTCCCCACAGTGCCCCTTCTTCCTGCCATCTCTTCCTCCCAAAACCTCACCCCCTGCTCACTCCTCTCCACTCCTCCCCTTGTTGCTTGCCCTTAAGGCTTCAAAAAGCGATGGGGAGATGCCCTTCCTGCTTTGACCACACCTCCCTAAGAATCTGTGCACACAACTAAGTGTCCAAATTTTCAGAACAGATAAATGTTAACAATGACATTAGAAAAGCTATATGCACATAACTATTTATATTTACCTTTCCTTTTAGGCCTATATGCTTCAGTTTTGAAAATCCACTGACTGGGTTTACTTCACCTTTGACCTCTCCCTCCTGGGTTTTGTGGGCACTTCAAGGAAGAGTATAGCAATGAATTCACAGGTACATGACTGACCACTTCATAATCCTTGGAGCACTGGAATGACTACTCAGTGAGAGTGGGATCACCTGGCTGCTTCAACCCTCCTCATGCTTCCTGGCATGACAATTAAGATCAACTAAGCTAAGTTATGGAACATCACTGAATAACATCACCCTCGTGTTGCATCCGATCCACTAAATATCTGCAGAAATACCCAGCAGCCTATTTGCTGCCTGAATTCTTTGCTAACTGCTAAATGGTAATTTTGGTTTGTGCTTCATAGCAGCATGTAGAAAATTACTTGAAAAGCTTTTATTAATCTTGAGAATGATAGCTGATGTCACCTAAGGTGGCTTCATAGAATGAAGTCCATGTACTTTGGCTGAGAAAACGTTTTGACTTTAAAGACAGGTTATTCTGAGTGGCTGTGTCGAGACTGGCCACTTTTTCTGGAAAAGCAATTGCTTTTCCGGAAAAACTTGCCAGCTGTCTACACTGGCCGCTTGAATTTCCGCAAAAGCACTGACGATCCCATGTAAGATTGTCACTGCTTTTGCGGAAATACTAAGCTGCTCCCATTCGGGCAAAAGTTTTTTCCGAAAAACTTTTGGGTAAAAGGGCCAGTGTAGACAGCAGAGATTTATTTTCCGCAAAAAAGCCCCGATCGCGAAAATGGTGATTAGGGCTTTTTTGCGGAAAAGCGCATCTAGATTGGCCACAGACGCTTTTCCGCAAAAAGTGCTTTTGCGGAAAAGCGTCCTGCCAATCTAGACGCGCTTTTCCAAAAATGCTTTTAATGGAAAACTTTTCTGTTAAAAGCATTTCCGGAAAATCATGCCAGTCTAGACGTAGCCAGTGAGTATAAAGTTTTGTTTATGATATTTTGTTTGTTCTTCTTCCCACTCAGTTAAGGCTCATTGTCTGTAATGCCTATCATTTTATACAACTCTCTATCTCCTTCCCACTAGATTTGAGCACATTCTTCACCAAGTGTACATCGTCACAGCATGCTGGAGAGGAAAAGGAAATACACTAAAAACCATAACCTCAAAATGTGTGAAATATGTTAAGTGTTTCTTAGCAAAGGAACTTGTGTATGATATATAAACAATTATAACAGCAATATGGGTGTGGTTTACATGATAAATAATTATTAAAGAATCTTCAAAATATGGAGATGGTGGGAGATTTGGATATCTATTATTAGGCTTCAAGACCCTTGTGATAGGTCATCTGCCCTGCACTGGTCCTTTAAAGGTTAAAACCTAGGCTTGGGAGAGGGCTGGTGTGGTGGAGCTGTGAAGCCAGCAGCTGTGTCAGATATGAGCCAATAAGGACCCAGCTGAGGGCAGTATAAATAAAGGCTCCTGGAGAGGAGGAGACACAGATTCACTCTTGTTCCAGCCTTGGAGTAGGAGGGACCTAGCTGCCAGGGAACCTAGAGGCTTCCTGACTTAGAGCAGGGCTGGGGAAGCTCTGGCCAGGCAAGATCCCAGGCTGCAGGGCCTGAAGCAAGGCCTGAAGCTCCTGGGGCTACAGGGAGGCAGCAGGTCCACACTGCCTTGCGAATGATGAGTGGCCATTTCAGACTGCAGTCTGCCCCTGCGGTAAGGGGCTAGATGAAGACTGGCAGTGGCTCACTGAGGCTAGAGGGGCATAGTGGGCTGGGGGTTCCCAGAGGGGAAGGACTCAGCGTTTGGGGACACTGCGGCAGGGCAGTATCCAGAGGGAAGGGCCCCACAGTCTGGGAGGGACATGGGTCCTAATACACAGTGCTTGAGGAAAAAAGGTAACAGCAGGTGAGATACCAGCTGAGACACCAACCAAACGGGGGTGCTCCAGAGCTGAAAACTAATTCCCCAAGAGTCTGGCGGAAGGTGCCGCGGTGGTGAGTCATGTGCTGTGTTACACCCTGTACAGAGTCTTAAAACAACAACCATGGGTGGCAGTGGCAGGAGTAGAAATAATAGACATTGTCTCAAATTCATGCATTAAACATTGAAGTGACAGGTGTAAAATGGGCATAACAGAGAGGAGACTGGAGACCTTAATGAGCATGATTTGCTCTTTCTTTCAAAAGGTGTTGTAATGACTCACTTATGTAAAAGGACAGACCAGTGATAGGACCAGGCTGGTCCAGACACTCTTTTATTGGCTCCCAGCTCAGAAAAATACCTTGCACAGTTTCCAGTCTGGGAAGAGGAGTTTAAAACCTCAAGATTCATAGAATCATAGAATCATAGAATAATAGGACTGGAAGGGACCTCGAGAGGTCATCGAGTCCAGCCCCCCGCCCTCAAGGCAGGATCAAGCTCCGTCTACACCATCCCTGACAGATGTCTATCTAACCTGTTCTTAAATATCTCCAGAGAGGGAGATTCCACCACCTCCCTTGGCAATTTATTCCAATATTTGACCACCCTGACAGTTAGGAATTTTTTCCTAATGTCCAATCTAAACCTCCCCTGCTGCACTTTAAGCCCATTACTCCTTGTCCTGTCCTCAGAAACCAAGAGGAACAAATTTTCTCCTTCCTCCTTGTGACACCCTTTTAGATATTTGAAAACCGCTATCATGTCCCCCCTTAATCTTCTTTTTTCCAAACTAAACAAGCCCAGTTCATGAAGCCTGGCTTCATAGGTCATGTTCTCTAAACCTTTAATCATTCTTGTCGCTCTTCTCTGTACCCTTTCCAATTTCTCCACATCTTTCTTGAAATGTGGCGCCCAGAACTGGACACAGTACTCCAGCTGAGGCCTAACTAGTGCAGAGTAGAGCGGCAGAATGACTTCCCGAGTTTTGCTTACAACACACCTGTTGATACAACCTAGAATCATATTTGCTTTTTTTGCAACAGCATCACACTGTTGGCTCATATTCAACTTGTGGTCCACTATGACCCCTAGATCCCTTTCTGCCATGCTCCTTCCTAGACAGTCGCTTCCCATCTTGTATGTATGGAACTGATTGTTCCTTCCTAAGTGGAGCACTTTGCATTTCTCTTTATTAAACTTCATCCTGTTTACCTCTGACCATTTCTCTAACTTGCTAGTTCAGGTGAGTAACTTGAAGTCAGACGCTCACTGGGGCATGTCGGGCTTTGGAGACATCTGAGTGGCTTAGGAGCACCAACGGCTTTTGAAGCCACCACGTTAAATGCCCTTACTGGCACTGAGCACATGCACTGTGCTGCTGCTGCCCTCGGAAGAGACTAATTGCCACTGGAACCTGAGAACGGGCCCCGCAGCATGATCCGCTGTTGTTGAAGAGCAAGCCCCTGCTGCAGACCCCTATGCTGGAGTTGTTGCTCCCAGGGAGAGAGGTTTATTGATGCTAGGGAGAGACGCTGCCGTGCAGGAGTGAGAATAGCTATTCCTGGGCACAGAAAGCACCTGCGGCTCCTGCTGCTATTACATGACTTTGGTGTTATTGCTGTCAAAGGACATTTCATCTCGTTTTTGCTTATTGTCCCACAGCCAGTTGTGCTCAGTTATTGTTTTTAGTTCTCTGTATTATTGTTACGTTATCTCATCTCCTCAGTCATCATAAGGCCTTTAGTTTCTTTCCCATTGCTTCCCCATTACTAGCTGTGCACCTGTGAAGCTGTATATTTAACCCCCTGGGAAGAATTTAGATAAGAGGTCTCCAAACCGTAGGGTAGGTTCAGGGAGGCACGTAGAGGGCCTGGGACAACTCACCCCCCATAAAAGGGTAAGGAAAGGAGTGCCGTTCTGCCCACACTCCAGCTCCAATCTCAGCCACAGCGCCACTCCATCCCGACCCAGTTCTGCCCCCTTGCTCCACCCCGACCCAGTTCTGCCCTCATTCCTTCTCCACCCCCAGGCCAGCTCTACCCTAGCCCCAACTCCTCCCACAGCTTCACCTTCAGCCCAAGATACTCTGCTGAGTCAACGGTGCATTGTGGGGTGAGGGTACGTGCAGACAGATCCCATTGCCAGTGAGGGAGCACAACAGGAAAAATTTGGGCACAGCTGATTTATACCAATCCTGAGGCATAGGCACACCTTTGAGAGAGAGATAAGTCTATCAATGTCTGTCAACTAGTATAGTGGTAGAAATGTAGCCGTGTTAGTCTGGTGCAGCTGAAACAAAAAACAGGACTGTGTAGCACTTTAAAGACTAACAAGATGGTTTAATAGGTGATGAGCTTTCGTGGGCCAGACCCACTTCCTCAGATCAAATAGTGGAAGAAAATTGTCACAACCATATATACCAAAGGATACAATTAAAAAAATGAACAAATATGAAAAGGACAAATCACATTGCAGAACAGAAGGAGGATGTCTGAACTGTTATTCATGCTTAAATTCGACATTTTACACCTAAATTTGAACAAAGACTTTAATTATCTTACCCATTACAAAGCTAGCTTCCCCAATTATCACCTCTAATATCATTAGCTAACAGACATTTACCTCCCCCCTACCTCCCTTCTGTTCTGAAATTTGATTTGTCCTTTTCATATGTGTTCATCTTTTTTTAATTGTATCCTTTGGTATATATGGTTGTGGCAATTTTCTTCCACTATTTGATCTGAGGAAGTGGGTCTGGCCCACGAAAGCTCATCACCTATTAAACCATCTTGTTAGTCTTTAAAGTGCTACACAGTCCTGTTTTTTGTCAGCTAGTATAAGAGAGATTAGTCTATCATTGAGACATAGCAACAAACATAATTAAATATAAATATAACAAATTAGGACAATATCATTGGGATAAATCTGTCTGTCTAATCCCCATTCACTGGGTGTCCTGGTAGTGTGTTAGTCTGCACTCTGTGTTTTAAATTTTAAGCTGCTGGAGGCAGGAACTGCTTTTTCATTTGTAATGTGCATTGCTCAGCATAGTGTTGATGCTAAAATAATTAACATTAATAATGAAAATGGATGTCTCCAGTATATATCTTGTGAGTGACCTCTGTCTGACAGAGTGTACTTTCTCATGCATTGTCAGCTCCAGTTTGGATAATCTCCGGATAATAAACTACAATCTCTTTTCTTTT